TTCTTAGCTTCCACACTGTGCACATGGTTACGTCACCTTCACGTGACGATCAACATGCCCTGATCTCAGTCGGAGTGTGTCACAACATCCCTAAAAAAAATAGTACAAAGATTCCTAAATTCCATCTCTACATTCTTTAAAATTGTACAAAAATTAATTTGATAGACGAAGCTAGGGAAAAGGACATCCCAATTTGATGAAGGAGAATATGAGATGAACTGCGAAGAGAGACAGAGAGTTGCTGGAATGGGAGCAACATAGATGAAGCCGATGTCTAGATGAGTGAAAAGATGAAGAGTCACAACGTAAGAAAGCTTAGGGTTTTTTATTGGGAATGTAGAGGTTAGAGGGTGAGATGATTAGATAAAGTGCATATATATATATATAAATGAATAAATAAATAATATAATATTAATAGTAGTGGTACGGTACGGTATACCATTGGTAATGGTTTTGAATACCATTACTGTACCAAAAATGTATGGTACGGTACAAATACCATACCATTACCAATGGTACAAATTTTTTGGCACAACTTTGGTACGGTACGATTAGTAATTTGGTTGGTATGGTAATTTGACAAAAAATTACACCACTAGATATTAACTTAAAAACGAAAACTTTTATTTGACTAAAAAATCAAAAATCAAAAATTTCTTATTTTTCGCCCCCAAACTTATATTACACATTGTCCTCAAGGTGTGGAAAAATAAACAAAAGACATGAAAATAAACTCATAAAAAGACTAACAACTAGCTATTAAATAAAAACTGATATTAAGAATATAATATAAAGACAAAAGATACAATTCTTAATAAAACAAAACTTAAAGGAAAGATGGTACCTGGGTTGGACATGGTGTCCTGATTCATGGAAATCATGAGGCCTTGATATGTGGACATGTGTCCATAACACGCCCGTTTCATTTCCCATTTCGCATCTTAAGCTTCGAAACTCTCAGCCGCTTCTCTCAAAGAATATGGAGCCGCAGCTCTCATATCTCTCCTAGCTCTCTAGTCATTCAAAATCTTCCAATGGTCCTGGATTTGTCAAACCCAAAGCAAATACCCAGCCGTGCCTCCACAGCTGGATTTCTGTCATTTCTTCCCAAATCTCCATGTCTCTGCAAATCGAAGCTCCAATCCGTCAAGTCAATTTCCCAGTGCACACCAAGGTAAATACCTCCATTTTTCTTATGGATTTCATGACAAGAAGTTGTATGAACTTCATTCTGAACTTGATGCATAGGCTCATTGATACGACGAAATATGACATGACATTGTTCATTAAAATATTAATTTATTGGATGATTATAGGACTAAAACAAACCCTTAGATTCTCTTTCGATTGAAAATGGCCAAAGTGTTCATTCCATGACTTTTTTTAACGATCCATATGTATATATGTATAGCTACAATGTTGTGTGTTGGGACGAAAGCAATTGGTTGAATAACGCAAAAGCAGGTGAACTCATTATGCCAACAGGATTCTCTTCGGATTCTTTTTGGTGAGAATCTTAGAAATTCGTAAACTGTAATTTGTGTTAAATATGTTTTGTATTTAATTTTAATTAAAAATATTTAATACAATTTTTAACTGCACAATATACGATAAATAAATATAATTTCCGAATTCCTAAAATCCTTACGAAGTGGATTCAGCGAGAATCCGGATTCCTCATTATGAGTTTGGACGAAGTGGGCCATTAGACTTTTTACACGTACATCAATAAATCCCAAATATTTTCGGAAAAGGGTAGGCTATTTCCACTTATTTTTATCTTTCAAATACTTTCATTAATTTTTGTCTATTATTTTTTTTCATTTCATTCGATTCGACGGTAAAAATTAAGTGTAGTGTAATAAGTAAAAATGAGTGTGAATAATACTTTCACTTCGAAACTTTCTAGCGGTCTTAATGCAAAGGTTCATCTTTCCCTTATAACACACAAATTATTGTATGGTAAATTGGAGATAAGCTTGCATGCACTCCTTGACACGCCAATTGTGTTGCCTTGGGCTAATTAATAAAACAATGTCGTGTGTAGTTAAGATGTTATTTGTTCCTCAGGACTTGAATATGAAGGTCCACCAACCATCACGGGATGACTCAATAATTATGGACAAATTTTATGTTTATATTTCACACGAAACGTCTTGAGTTCAACTCTTAAAACTGGTAAATAATACAATTGTAGTCAAGAGAAATTAAAATGCTTATGTGAATCTTCCCAATTTGGTTATTTTGAGACATTTTGAAACAATTTTGTTTGTTAATGTCCAAAAAAAAAAATTGAATCATTAAAAGCATTCTGTTTATAAAAGAACTTTAAAAAATAAACTCAATTATATTAATTGGATTGCCCGAAAGAGTGATACTTTTAAAAATAAATTATGAAGGCCTACCAACTCTGTTTTATTTTTTTTTCATTTTTGTTTGGTAAAGAAGACCGCATCCATTGTAGGCTTGTAGCCTTAAGAGTTGCCTACCATGTGTTATTTCTGTTATTTATTTTGTTTGGATTTTTATCACAAATATGCTTTGAAATTCACCTATCTCATTAAGATGATTTTTTATATTGAAAATCGATCAATGTAATATCTGAAAAAGAATATCGCGAATCAATGTGGTCCAGTCCTTCCATAATAATTCTACTACTTTTATTTTTAAATTTTTATCATTTGAAATGATGATGATCATGATAAAATGGTGGTGCCAACGTGTAGAAGCGGTAATCATTGCATTATGGTAAATGATGAAGTATATCATAATAAATAGAAGAAAATCATCAAAATTTTAGACGGAGAGGTTGAAACGTGCTCAAAATCAGGAGAGATTTTTTAGTGTGACCGGTACACGGGATAGTACACCACGTGTCACTATACAAATGGTCAGATATGTGTGCTAAAAAGTTAATAACTTAAAAAGTAAAATTTCCCACCACTCCTATTAAAACACGTGATGTACCATTTGTGTTTCCGCCACAACTAAAAATTTCTCCAAAATCAGGTCTCATAACTAATCAATATCTTACAAATGGCAGGTAGGAACATACTCAAAATAAGGAACTTCCCGATCTAGCCAATCATCAGAAATAATTAAACAGAGAAGCTGCAAATATGTAATATAATTCCTATAAGGGGTAATCATCAAGAATCAGAGTAAAATCGAATTGGATCATAGACTTTTTATAGAACCCAGATTAGAGATATCAGTATGCCTCTTAACCTATATGTAATTTTGATGATTCTTTAGGAAAAGCATTTTGTTTATGGCTGTGCTCAAGCATTTTGATCAACAAATTTTGAGATAAAACAACATTTTGACGATTTTGAATATAACTGTTGAGAATAAATTTCACATTAATGAAAAGATGAACCTTGTATGAGCTTATCATACAAACTTTTCTGGATTGATGAGTGCTCAAGCGCTGAACATTATAAACATAGTGAAAAAAATTTGCAATGTCATTTATTTTAGTATTCATAGACCTCTTTCTTATACATGAGATAAACAAAATATAACAGCTAATCGAGGAATTGACGTGTTGAGCAAAAATTGTACAAGAAATATAACAAATAGTTGTTTGACACAATTTTACCCTCGTTCATCTTTTGAGGAGGGTTTTACTAGTTTAAGTTCTATTCATTCTAGATTATGGGTCTATTAATTACAATCATTCGTTAAAAAAGAAAACCCTTTGATTCCAATATGAATAAATAGTAACTTAGATATTTGAGTATCATTATATGGTTGCATCTAGATTAAATCTTTCAATTGCATGTTTATCCTTGACGGAATCAAATATGCATGGTTCATAAAATGGATTTATTTAAATTTGAATGGTGTGGCTTTGTAACATATGAGAGTTTTTGAATTTGGATTTGATTTGTTGGTTTTGTACCACCGGAGAATTTTGGAATTTGAAATTTGACGAGTATTTTGTATCAGTTATTCGATAACCGACACATGCATCGTAATCTATACTATTATTAAGAGAACTCTCATTGTCAATTTTTCGCCCTTTTTTTTCTATTTTACCCTCACTTTTGATACACAATACTTATAGAAAAGGAGGGTAAAATTGTAATTTTGTATCTTTTGCCCCTTTTTTTTATTTTGCCCTCACTTTTGATACACAATACTTACATAAGGAGAGCAAAATAGTAATTTCGTATCTTTTGATAAAAGCTTTTGATACACAATACTTACATAAGGAGAGCAAAATAGTAATTTCGTATCTTTTGATAAAAGACAATTATATTCCTATTTTTCTTATTTTACCCTCACTTTTAATACACAATATTTACATAAGGAGGACAAAACAATAATTATGTAATATTAAGATAAAATATGCACTTATTAAAATAAATTGTCCTACCATCATTTTTTCATATTCTTTTTAAAATTTTAAAAACTAATTACATTTCTTAATAAAAAATAAAAAATAAAATAAAATTGTTTACACACATAAAATATGTGCACATCTGCTAGTATTACGAGTGGAATGGGCTGGCTTGTGCTCCATTCACGTGATGTTGTCCCTCAATCAAACCTTTTATTTTTTGGACATACAAAAGCAGCAAATGACCTTCTTTTAAGAGGTTGATAATTGGACAGCTTTCGATGAAAATTTGTTCAGTATACAACAGACTTTGCTAAAGTATGTATAAAATAATGTATTTGTTTATTCATGCTTTGGGACCTATCCCTGCTTATTTTGACGCGGAGAAGACAATATAAAATAATGTATTTGTTTCTTCAATCTTCTGCCAAACTACACAAGATTACATCCAACAAGATTGAGAATTCGGAGATTCTTTGTATATTTTAAATTAATTTTTGTTAAGTACCATTTTTGTTCAATTTTACAAAAAAACCAGCTGTAACTGGGCCATTAGACCCACCGTTCATTGTATATTTTAGATTCGTAAATAATGTACTTGTTTTTTCATAACGTGCTTGGACAACTTAATTTCTTATGATAAGAAACCAGCTGGAACTCATTGGATTTTTACATACCTTATCACAAGGATGCATCATCATCAAGAAGTTAGGTGAACTCATAATGTGCTTGGCCATTAGACTACTTATCATAAGGAAGCATCATCATCATTATTCATACTATCTCAATTCCCCTGCACTCACCTCGTCAAGAAAGAAAGAAAGATGGCCGAGCTTGCATTTCCGTTGGCATCCAAACTCATTGAAAGGCTCAGCTCCATTGCTTCTGAGGAGATTTGCTTGGCGTGGGGTGTTCAAGCGGATCTGCAGAAACTTGGACGCACCATGTCCACAATCAGAGACGTGCTCTTGGATGCCGAAGAGAAGCAAGCACGTAACAGTGGCCTACGCAGTTGGCTACGACAACTTAAAGATGTGTTCCTTGATGCGGAGGATCTGTTGGACGAGTTTGAGTGCGAAGCTTTGCGAAGGCAAGTGGTTCGTCGCAGTGGCACAACCAGAAAGGTACGCCGTTTCTTTTCCCGCTCTAATCCTGTTGCATTCCGCTTGAGAGTAGGTCATGAAATTAAGGACATAAGAGAGCGGTTACATCAGCTTAAAGATGATAAGAAATTTGCTGATCTTCGCCCTGATCACCATCATCATCAAATTAGTGATGATCTAAGGGAGAATAGGAATACGACCGACTACCTTGTCCCTTCTTCGAAGGTTATTGGTAGAGAAACAGAAAAAAATAAAGTTGTTGATCTTCTAATGGTACAAGGCGATGATCATCAAGGTGGGGATGATGGAAATATCTCTGTTATTCCTATAGTGGGATTGGGAGGTTTAGGGAAGTCCACACTTGCCAATTTGGTGTACAATGATGACAGAGTCGTTGGGAGTTTTGAATTACGAATGTGGCAGAAAGTGTCAGTGGACTTTGATATCACTAGATTGGCCAAAGAGATCCTTCGCTCTGCATCAGGTACAAAGATCAGTGAAGGGTTGTCTCCGCATCAGTTGCAAGAACAACTCCGAGATGCTTTAAAGGATAAGAAATTTCTGCTTGTCTTGGATGATGTGTGGAACGAAGATCGTAACAAATGGTGCCAGTTGAGAGATATGTTGACAGAGGGGGCCAAGGTAGGAACTAAGGTTTTGGTGACGACACGGAATAGCTCAGTTGCTTCAATCATGGGCACGGTTGAAAGCATAAATTTAGACGTTCTCTCTTTTGAGGATTGTTTGTCTTTGTTTGTAAAGTGTGCATTTAAAGAAGGACAAGAAAGGCAGCATCCAAGCCTCTATGCAATGGGAAAAGATATTGTAAGAAAGTGTGGAGGGGTTCCCTTAGCTGTGAAAACCTTAGGGAGTCAACTTTACTCAAAGACTGATGAGCGTCAATGGCAATTGATTAAAGATTCTGAGATATGGGAATTAGAACGAGATGGAGATGGTCGTATTCTACCTGCTTTGAGACTGAGTTATACTCAATTGCCCTCTCATTTGAAGTTGTGCCTTGCCAGCTGTTCAATTCTTCGAAAGAATTACATTGCATTTAGTACCATGGATTTGATCCATAATTGGATGGCACATGGAATCCTTGAATCTCGTGAACATGGGGATATGGAGTTGGAAGATGTTGGTGAGCTATATTTCAAAGAGTTATGGGACAGATCTTTCTTTCAAAATGTTAAGGATTACGGTTTCTTCTATCGATTTGATATGCATGATCTCATCCATGACCTTGTACAATCAGTCGCACAAGGTGAGAGTTTGATAGTAGACTCTGCAGGCACCAAAGGCGTCTCTGAAAATGTTAGACATCTAGCATTTTTTGAAGTTGGCCAAAATATTTCAACAACCTTGCAAAAGTTGAATAAAGTGCGGACTATACGAGTAGAGAGTTGTAATATTGATGAATCCTTCCTCAGCACTTGCATTTCAAGATTCAAATATCTGCGGGAGCTTAGCTTATACCATTCACCTTGCGAATTGTTGCCGAGTTCCATTGGTTCTTTGAAGCATTTGAGAAGCCTGAACTTGGCTGGAAATGAAAGAATCACCGCACTACCCAATTCAATTTGTAAGCTGCAGAGCTTGCAAGCTCTGATTCTCGGTAGATCCGTGAATCTTGAAGAGTTGCCTAGAGACATGAGAAAGTTGATCAGCCTCAGATGGCTTGAATTAACCACAAAACAATCAAGTTTTCCAGAGAATGGAGTGGGATGCTTGACATCACTTCGATATCTTTCTATTTGGGAGTGTAGTAATCTTACGTGTTTGCCGCGTGATACGAGTTATCTCGCGTCGTTACGTACTCTGATGATAGGCTATTGCAAACAACTTGATTTGGTGATGGAAAACTATCAGGTAATTCCACTAAGGCTCCAAAAATTGGGGATTATAGGAGTACCACAAATGGTGGCATTGCCTGACTGGTTTCAAGGATGCACAAACACACTACGAGTCTTGGTTATTGGGGATTGTGAGAACTTGGAGGCATTACCTGGGTGGCTGACGAGTTTCACATCGCTTCGCAGGCTTTTCCTCCACTCATCTCCCAAACTGTTGTCTTTGCCAGATGAGATGCATCGCCTCACTGCCTTAACAGAGGTTAGGATTGCAGCTTGCCCTGATTTGGAGAGGAGATGTCAGCGCGACACAGGAGAAGATTGGCCAAAGATTTCTCATGTTCCAAATGTTTATTTTGAAGGGCCATGAATTTCTCGAGATGCGAATAGCAACATACACTGCTGTCTTCAATGCCGCGTGCCTCTGTTTGTCTTAGTTTCTGAGTTGCTTGTAGTTTGTTCCGGCCAATGTAAATTGTGGTGGGGGCACAAGTGGATTTATATTTCAGTAGATTAAAACATGTTTGATTTATTGTAATATTACTCCAATTTAATCAACCTTATTTACATCAAACTCCTTCCTTATCAGGCACACTTTGAATCAACCTTACTTGACTATTTTACTTGCTTATTTGTTTCTTGGAAACTCAAGTCTTTTAGAAGCGGTATTCTCCGATCTAGTAATTCCGACAGTCGGAGATTTCGGCGTCATCAAACTAGGTAAAACTATGAAACGAATTCAGCATTTAAATGGAAGAAAGGTTGCCCGCTAAGTCAAATTTTGACCCATCTCATAACAAAATAAAATAAAATTTTTACTAAACAATAATCAACTTCTGGATTTCAAGCCCCGAAGACTTAGGCAGAGTGAAAACTTTGTTATTTGTCATTCAAGTTAATGATGTAATGCTCTAATCCAATTCGCAGAAGCACCAAAGAGAAAGGAAAATGCAGATGGAAATGGAATGAACTAATCCCAAATGCAATGCAGTAACTAACTCAGTCGGAAGCCAGAAAAATAACTCCTCCATCTGAATTTCTGTTACAACCACACCGTGGAGTCCATCTGGTTTTCTGTTCCGACCACACCGCAGACGGGGGTGAGCCTCAGGTACATGATGGAGTTCGGGTCCCGGCCGACGGCGTGGACCCAAATGATCTAACAAATGGCTTACATCACTCAATGAGTTCTTGTAGAGATTAATCCTTCAAATACTCTGCACGCTCGACACTCGGTCAACTCACAAGGGAGTATCCAATCTCTTAATCTCGTGGTGGACTTTGAAGACTAATTTTATCACCAGACGTGATCAAATCCATAAATCCCACGGCCTCCATATGCTACATGATCAATCGATATTAATCTATATTTTTTTAACTTCAATATTTTTATAATTTATTTGATATTTTGAGAGAATTTTGATACATTCGTGACTCACGTGCCTTGTTCACGTGTAAAGCTTAAATGACCAAACACGTGAACCACATATTGAGCCACCGGTTCACGCACTCTCGCCTATATCTTATTATCCTACATATCCAAAAGTAGTGATATCCGGAGAATGATGTATTGATTTCGAAACCTCGAGTGCAAAGATGAACGCTTAACCAATCTACAACTGCATCAATTGTCTCTCAAGAAAACATAAAGAAGGAAACACGATACAAGTAGGAAAGATAGGCACTTCTATTAATAAAGAGAAACCAGAACGCTACAACATTGGCCACTCTTTCTTAGCAACATATGAAACTGGAAAACTACAACATTATTGGATAATCTAGTTACTTCCCAGGCACTTGAGTCTCTCAATCCATCTTGCTTAACCACACATCATCATCTCTTCACATGCAAGACAATGTCCTAATAGCTAAACTCTTCATATCAGATCAGACCACTTACACTTGGATCTTAACTGACCATCTGTACATCTCTTTTTCTGGTACCGGGATGGTAATCGTCGTTAATCCAGATGCAGAGTCATACTCGAAGTTGGTCTCGGCGTTGTCAACAGTGCACTTCAGCGGCCGCTGGGAACAGTATGCTCCAAACCTTCCACATCCTCTGGTTTTGAGACCAATTGTTGCAGTTGGGGATCGGTTCTCGCTAACTTCTCCATTAGAAAGCTCAGGTTTCTTGTCAGAAGCCAAATGGATTTCAACCTGCTCCACAGCAGCACTTGAATTGAACATGTCAAGTAGGCCTATTGGTGCAAATGAGAGGTCGGATGTAATTTCCTGCAAAGTACAAAATTATCAGTTACCCCACTTAGTGGGAAAAGGCTTTGTTATTGTTGTTGTACAAAATTATCAGTTAGTAAAATCCTTTGCAATGATTGGAACTTTTCACATTCAAATAAATGTTGGTGATAGCAAGACTAACCTTGAGAGGACAGAAATGGAAAACCTCATAGTCAAGAACTTTAAGCGTCACAGGCACTGAAGCACCTTTTGGCAACCGAAGAACCTCACCTGACAATCAATCAACGTTTCATATCGTTATAAAGTTGAAGAGCAGGAATACTATGAGAATAATGTTACGATTCATAACAAAGGCAGGTAGATTTCTTCTTAAAACTTCGCCATTATCATATTGACACGTTATTAGAGAACTCTGCTGCTTCCATGGCAATCTAAAGTGTTCCTTCAAACTAGCTTCTGTAAACAAAGTAGTGGTACCTGACTTATGAGCATAAACTACTGTTTCTCCATTCCAATCAGCACCAGCAACTTGAGCAATGGCGTCAACATCAGCGGCACGAACAGAACCACTGAGGGTACCGGGAGAGTAATCATGAATGCGTGTCTTCTTTTCAATCTTGCACCAACCGGCACCTTGACAGTTAAACACACCAACCACACCAGAGAGATTGTTGACATTCCATATTTTGAGCAAGCTGCAAAGAGAATTATTCACACAAGCTTTACTCATGGAGGCTCTCAATTTTAACATAACTTGGGAAAAGCATAAAGAGAAGTAAATAGAACAAACCTTGTCCTGTCTCTTGCTGGATCAGCGAAGAGACAATCACGTGTAGGCCTGCCAGGTAACTTGGCACGGAGGACAGATCCATCAGGGAGAACCAGCTTCCTTAGAAGGTCAAAATTGTGATTGCCTGGCTTATCACTATTCATAGAAATACCAAACTTATGCATTAGAACTCCTACCTCATGAAGTGGCAATAGAATAAATTTGTTTGATACTTTGATGCATAGAATTACCTCACATAGATCGCACATCCACCAAGAGCACGGGCTGCACCGTGGTACTCTGCCGCTGGGTGCAAACTCTGCAAAGGATATCATGATATACACAGATGAGTTTGTTTTCTTAATGACACTGAATGTCATGCATAATCAACCAAAACGATTGCAGATAATCACACAAATTGCAATTGTAAATCTTGAATAAACATAAATATTGATGTTTCAAGCCTCCACCAAATAGAATAGACTAATATACATCAACAACTATATTTACAATTATAATATAACCATAAGTTAATGAGCACGTACATGACTAGACACTAAACTCAGGCCCTTCGAGGAAATGGCTCCTCATTAGGTTTCCATAAATCATCATCCAGAAAAGGAAAACAAAAATCAAACAAATTGCAATTGTAAATCTTGAACATACATAAATAACGATGTTTCAATCCTATGCTTAAACTATGTTTTACAATAACAATAGAACTGTAAATTTTACGAGTGTGTACATGAATAGAGGACATTCGAGGAAATGGCTCCTCACCAAGTGTCCATAAATCATCATCCAGGAAAGAGCAAACAGTACCAAATGTCCAAGACATAACGAACTAACAAAATAAGATAAAAAATGCTTCATTATTTTACTTACGTGAAACATATCCCAGTCAGGTTGCATGAATTCTCCAAGGAACAGGGTGTTATAAGCAACGGAAGATATGTGAATCGTGTGTGAAGCAGGATCTCGGGGATAGAAGTCATCAGAGGCTCTGACCACAGCAGTCTGCTTGGCACTGTAGAGCCCATCAGTGTTGTGACACATGCAAGAAATGCATCCATTGTCAGCAAAATTTCGAGCAACCGAAGCCTCAAGTGCCTGGTGGTAGCTGCGGGTCAGAGAAACTCTTCCACCATGACCAGACCCTAGAGTCTCAATGATGTTCTGAACATCAACCTTAACTCCATCGACTCCACAGGAAGCCAAGTAGGAATGAAGCTCATTGTAGAAATTGAAAACTTTCTTCGGATGTACCAAACCAAGACCATGAACAGTTAAGCTGTCCATAACTATATCTGGTTGGTTGCCCTCTACACCAGGGGACGTCACTGGGTATGCTAAAGCAGTGTCATAGTGTTCCATGCCAGTAGCAGCTGGTTTTACTCCACCCCAGTACCCAGCTAGAGCATGCCATACATAAACAAATCTGTGCCAGCAAGAAACATAAATTCGACAAATTAGTAACAATACTACTTGCTGTACAACTCTTAAAATAAATTCTAATATTGGTAAAACATCATAAAACGTCAAGCAGAGCACACAGAATTCGACAAAAAAATTATTGTTTGTTGTTAACATAGTAAGATCATTCACTCCACCATCACATATATTGGTAACTGAATTCATGTTTTAATTCTAAAGATCGTAACAAATATGATTCTCCGCGTCATCTTTACTATCACCTACCATTTTCAAGAACAAAAAATAATGTATTCTTAGATCCTAGCATTACCTTACTAAGCATCTAAAGTAGAAGAAAAAATATATCTAAAACGTTACTAATAGAACAGCTGGCAGTTCGGGAGTACTCGTTGCTAGTCCAAGAAAGTAACCTATCAACTAGGACTACTTACTTCACATTGTGATGCTGCTTGGCTTCATCCACAACGTGTTTCAGGCCAGAGACGTGCTCATTGTTGTGGTCATTCTTTTGGAATTTTTCGTTCTCTTTGATTCCTGTCAACCTACTTGCAAACCTGCAATTAACATACTCCCATTAACTAAGCAGCTCCTTTAATCAGATAGACCAAGCAGCAATGTTTGGAACAAAAAAAGCAATGAATGATTGCGCGTAAGAAGACGACAAAAGAAGATCCAAACGCATCCTATGCCAATCATGCACGCAGAACATGGAAAGAGAACGGTAGGAAAATGATTAAAGCGTAATCATTTAACATTGAGAAATAAGACAGAGGCGTTACTGTGCTCCTTCTTGTACAACAACACCAGAATCCTTGTCTTTATTTTCAATCTGTTGCCAACCGTCGTCAACGATTAGGAACCGCGGAGGCGTCCCTCCCTCCGATAAGCTACAATCATTACAAAACAAAAAATAGCGATTTAATAAACTGATGGTAGATTCAAGTTACAGTAAAGAGCAAGTTAAATATGATAACATGTCTTATTACCTTTTAAGGCCTTGATCCACACCCTCAGCTGTGACATCGGTGTAAAAGGCATCCCATGTACACCAGCCAAACCAGTCCAGAAAAGAAGGCAACTACATGCAACGAAAAGATCGAAAATTAGATTCATTCAAGCAACGTTCGCGATACGTCATTCCAATTGCAGAACACCAATTACAGAAGAAAACA